TCTAGTTTTCACTGCTGTCCGAATGTTCTACGACAAGCTTGGTTACAACAGTGAATTAATAACTTGATGTCGAACAGCCTATGATCCGTGTTATAATCAGCCTTGTGCATCACTCGCGTGCTGCCGGACGATCTCGCAATCAAGCAAATGATGACAATCCATACGTGAGCGAGTCCACGTCGTGGTATCGCCCTCATCCAGGTGGCTTCATATGGGTGTGATAGCGGACTCGTGAATACTAAACAAGCGGAATAGACGATAACCATTCTGAATGATTACACCAATGCTAGGTGGACCCAGGACTTCTGATTATGCTGCTGTGTCTTGCCCAACGCGCATACTGAGGTCACCCTAAGCAAACAGTAGGTCACTTGCTGTTGATCATACTGTAACTGACCACAAAACTGGTCCATTTTGTTGCTGATTTGAGGCATGGTTCGACCATAAACACTAGTTAATGTAACAGAGTTACCTCGATCGGGCTATTCGTTTGTCATCAAAGAATCGATTCAGTCAACGACTGCGAGAAAGACACCGGACTTCCACACATCTTAACCTGAGTATTTCATCTATCAAGTGTACCCAACACTTTCATCCTAGAACTTAGCCAGGTCTTCAGGTCTTGTCTCACTCAAGTCCGTGACGTCGATGCCGTAGCGGTCCAATTCCATCGCCATCAGTGTAGAGCGGCGTGCCAAATATCCAGTGATACGTCGACCCAGAAGCGCGCGCACACCATATTTACCGACGGGTAGCAGTCTGCTCTCACAAGCTCGTCTCATTTTGTTTTATGGGACTCAAGTTAGAGTCTCAGACATGCGATACAGAATGAAACAGATTTTTCTTGGAGACCCCACCCGGAGCCTCTGACTTAAAACCCAGATATGCAACGTAACAGGATATATGGTTCTCTTGTGGACTGTTTCCGGAGGTAATACTGAAAGAGTCTGACTCATTTGACAGTGAAGAGCTAACGCAACTCGGAAAAGTCCTAACTAAGATACATACATTTTATCGCGAACAATGCTGCTCGCATTAGGTGTATAGTAATTTACGTAAAGCTCCTGAGAATGAGTGCGAATTCGTATATCATATTCGATAATATGACGAGGATCACGGTCACTGATTGGGTGATCGGAGTGATTTTTTCATGGGGGTACTATTTCAGTCACCCTCCTGCCATATGTGGAAGACAGCAGTGCTGTAATTACAGACATAATTCCGCTGTTTAATGATAATACTATGCCTCAGTGTCAACGTACTCCTAGGCTATCAGTAGTTAGATCGACAAGCCTATAAGCATAATTGCCTTTAGTCCAGCTGCTCCATTTTGGCCTATCTTCCATGGTTGAACGTATATGGACCGAAGTCCCACTCAAAGTAACCCTCAAGATAAAAACAGCACACAGTCCTGATGACTATTCTAAATTGATGGGAAAAGATTTGCACATACAAACATGACTGGTAGTATGCCTCAGTTGATGAACCTGGATGGCTTGTCTGAACCAGACCTGTGATATTAACAACTTGTTTGCCTGTTGCATTAACTCGAACGCTGAAAACGTGACCATCTGTTGGAAGGCTACGATCAATAGCAGTGGCAGAATATTCATTCATATATCTCGTGATTGGAGGTGAGAACGAGATAGAAACCATTAGAAAAGGATATAGTAAAATGGGAAAACAGGTCTAGTATCGGCAGTCTGGTCTGATCTCGTGATCTCAAGTACATCAGAAATCAGTTACAACGTGCTCTGGTAACTAAACCTCACGCGATAAAGATATGAAAAAGATCCAAGAAACTGTGCACGAACGTATATAGGCATGAGTTACTCGATTCTACAGAAGTTACCGTTTTATGGTTGATCGAGTTAGTGATAAGTGGAGACCACTTGACCAGAAGTTTCCAAGCATCTGCCCTCTCAGTGGTTCTGGTGTGTGTGTATATGATGGTTATGTGCCAGGAAGATTGACTAGTCTTCACTTACTTCAGTTCGTATCCACATACATTCACTCTGTTATCGTTTTATATTCCCCTCCCCTAAAACGGTTGCCCTGTGTTGGGCTTCACGTAAACCAGCACTGAGCTATTTCCTCTTGAACCTTGAATTACTGTCTAATCACTCGACTAAACGGGTTGAGGTGACAACTATCCCACTTCTTCCACCGTTGATTCCCTTCGTTAGCATGCTGACTACCCTTGTTCCATCGTTTCATCTCCAGTCCATTGACAATACACACTTATCTGATGCGAATTGTCGATTCCGTTACTTAACTAAGCAACTAAGAATTAACATCAATCGACAATAGTCAACAGTTTAACGAACAAGATAAAAGACGAAATCGCTCTTCAGATGGATAATGCATGGCGGATTTAAAAGCGTCACTTTCAGAGGTATACTTTTTCCGCCGTAACGTGTTACATTAGAAACAGTTCTTTGAAAAAGTTTAGCGCGTTGACGGGTTACCGAACAACGTATGGATCACCCACTGGTGTCATACAGGAGTTAATCTTCCTTTCTGGTACTCATGGCCAATCTTCACAATTGCTTGTTTAGCTACTAAAAATAGCATCGAAGGATGTTCTGTTAGTGGTGAATTGCATGTGAACGGAATGTGTGCACTTTTCTATACACACACTTTTTAATGTAACTAATTGTGAAGTTTCTGAACCGGATGTCTGCATTCCGATCCTGGCCTTAACTTCTCGGCCTTCTAACTAATAAATCGGATTGGAATGGATTTTTTTTCCATCCGACGTAAATTATTCACCTCGCTTTAGGTAGCTTCCTGATTCACAGTTTTCGATCACGGCTATCGTGATATTTGCAAGGTCATGCTTAACCAATGTATAAGTACCCACTGTGATTTACGGCCTTTTCCTCGCAGATTTGTTTTCCATTTTTTGTTACTTTTGCGATACAAGAAATGCCTTCTGATCATGAGCATATTTTTTTATCGAGACATCAGTTTACTGGGGAATAGCCTCCGGATTTCAACTCCAACTTCTAAAATTGAAATTTAGTTGTAAATTAAAAGCAACCGATCTTATCTATCCACTGCTCACCCTATTATCTGAGAGTATCAAAAATAGATTTTGTTCATATGTATACACAAACATTTAGGACAAAAGACGTAGGCGTTTATTGATGATGTTTTTCTGTTCAAGCTGTGAATATTCACTACAAATACATGCAAACACATTCAGTATAGTCAAGAATAAATGACAATCGTACAGGTCAAAGGGACACTAACACAAAAAAGACATCTGGTTCAGGGTAAAAATGATTTGTATCGATTAATAGCAAATTGGCTCATTTTTAAGCGGTTCCACATCAATAAACATAAATCGAATAGGTAGGTAAAACACAAACAATGAATTATCAACTTGCTTGGCTAAACGTTCAAAAAATATCGGGAAGTCCAGACGAAATGTTTGATCGAATTTGCCAATGGTCGTTTTATCAAGTCACTCTTTATCACCTACGCTGAGGAAGAAAGAGTTGAAGTGACTCGACGATGAATTCGAAGAACGTAAAGGGACAGAAATGGGGTTTAGGTTTTATCTATATTGAATTATATGTCTGTTGTTATAATTCAATCAATTAAGGGGATGTCACGAGGGTAGCAGTCTAGGCTATTGTTTGCTTCCTGGTATTTATTTGGTTCTGCGTCAAGTTCATCATCACTGTGTTATGTTGCTGTTTGAGCCATTTTAAACTTGACTGGTCTCCAACCCGACTGACTACTATCCGCATCCAGTGAGGTGCCAACATCTGACTCGCCTGTCAAATGTGAACCAAACGCAGCCGGCGTCGGAAATGCTGCTCAAATAAAAATATATGGGAAGTAGGTGAAACGATGAATATTTTTCAAACTAATCCTCCCAGAGGGACATTATTTTTATTGATTTCACTTGGTGTGTTGTTCAGAAAAATGACGAATACGACGCAACAGTCACATATCTTCCCAAGGTCTATCGGATGTGTTCCGAACTTGTTAAACTGTCGTAAGCGGTTGTCTGATTTCTGTTATATAACTAGCAACAATTATCAAATTTTATGTTTAAAGCACTATGCATAATTGAAGTCAACTTAGCTGAGTCTTCAACTTCTACTTTGTGAGCAGTACTAATAAGCAGATCAGTTGTTGTGTAAATGATACAGTTGTGAAATAGCTGAGCTTCGGCTGGATTCGAACCAGCGTCAACAGCAGCACGCTCAAACGCGGCAAGCCCTTTACTAGCTGAGCTACGAAGCCACTGTATGGATGTAAAACGTGGCTATTTGTACCGATACACATATTTCTTGTCCGTCTTAATATGACATTGTGAACCACGTAACATACCGTAAAATTAACCAGCTCACATGGTCTTCCGAATTTCAGTCAGCCTCTGCATGTTTGAAAAGAAATATTCGATTGTAGCTCGTGAAAATGAGCCGCACCTATTCACCAGGTTACGTTGACTGAAACCTTCTTTTAAATGTCAGCTATCTTCGTTGGAATATTTGTTTGTCTTAACTTGTACAACTATACAGTCCTTAAAACAATAACTCGATAAAAAAATAGATAGACTTCTGAAAAGACAATCAAATCATTTTCAGTTTTATGGGAATCGAGATGGTGAAATTCTATTGTCAGTCCACATGTCTAACTATTAAAAGTGGGTTAAATAAACGTTCAGAAAATTCTTCAGCAACTCATCACAAATTGCTTGGTTAATTTGATTCAGTTGTTGATATAAATTAGTGTGGTATTTAAAACAGACACATGTTCCACATAATCTCAGCCTGTTTTCAGGTTGCATCACGCTTTACAAGAAAGTCTATTTGTAGTTAGGTTGCTTTTTGCATTGTTAGGGAGTGAATTGTTTTAAGGAACTGACAGGTCTCTGTCCCGTCAACCAAACCATCGTGGTAAACCCATCGTCATACTTTCAATGAATTCGTCCGTACATGTTTCTTAAGTAACTTATTGAACCTGTCATATGCGGTCAATTCAATTACCTCTCGAACAAGTAGTATTCAATATGCAACGTGTCCCGACGTCTATAACATTCTGTTCGACTCTTCGAGGGATAATGTGACTGATAAAACGTGGCTATATTTATTCAATCAAGGCCCAACATAGTGGCTGACATGGACCATCCGACGTGGCCAACAATTCCTGCTCTGTCAACAACGTTAATGTCGCTGCCAACAATATATTACTTTGTTCATAGGTTGACATGCCTAATGGCCACACTGCCACAACGACTCAGGTTTTACTGATGAGTCAGGTGAGGGCTCAAGTTTTGTTACGCGACCTTCCATTCAACTCAACAACAAGAATGACTATTCCATGCTAAACAGCATGCTGAACAACACATCCTGCCTTGATGTCACCATACAAGCTAGAAGGTACACGCTCCTAAGGTGAGGATTTTCGACTCCCAGATTTGTATAGCTTCATCCAGTAAACGAATTGCAAGTCAAGCATTAAGCTGATATTAACCCATCCGTCCGTTATACCCTGCAAAGTTAGCAACAGTCAAAAGCATTATTACTGTGCTATCCGGATTTTGATAAGTTTTAGCATTTTATTATAGTTTTTTGTTTACGTTTATTCGGTACATTGCTAGGGCGTTGTTGTCAAGCTGATTATTTTGGGAAAACTACAAGGCGGCTATCGGAAAGTATTCGTGAACACCTCTCAAAATGGCCTCGCAACCGGTTCTCACGTAATTAACACTGGTCATCAAATTGAGCCAAATGTAGCCTTCCGAGTCATATACAAGGTTCGTCAATCCCACTCCAGAGCCGTCAGATTGCGATCGTTATCAGCGACCGAGGTTATCACCATCAGACTCTACAACCCCTGTTTGTGTGCCCAAAAACAGTTCGTGCAAACTCTACATCTACTCTGACCAAATATTCCACGACCATTTGAAATTCGAGCAGACGTGAACCACTTGACATCGCCGAATGCATGTCTCACGGCAGGCACGTGTGGCAGTGTCACACATTCATCAACACTCCTATCATCCTCCAGTTGACTGTGATCCGCCCTTTGTCTATGATTTTAATGACGTATTTGACTTGTTTTAATTTTTCACATATAAAATGCATGTACCCTACGTAATTGTAAAAACCCGATGTGAATGACCAAAAACAGCTATTCGCATAATTGATCTCTTATAAATTCTGGATACATTGTTATTTATGTCTTATTTACATTTTTTATTAGCACTATTCACCTTGTGATTTTAGTTTAAACTTTATGCTAATACTCTCAACTTGAACCAACTTTTCAGGTTTGTAGCCTACAACTTGTAGAAGACAAAACCATTTTTCAGAAAGTACAAAGCAAACGAGCACGTCCCAACACGTTCATTATTGAATCCAGAGCGATTACTTGGAATGATGTAATTCTCCACTTACTTTCGATGTGTCAAAGGTCAGCTAATTTTAGTATGTGAAATCGTGCAACCACTACACCTCCCTCCACAAGACCTAATTTATCATTTCAACAGTAACTCCTTCACTTAACAGCGTCAGATGGGGCAATTGACGTTCAGGCAAAACTTATTTGTTGTCCTACCTGAACTACCCAATCAGAGTCTAGCTTCAGCTTTAGTGATTTATGCTTTCAAGTGCAGCTTCAAAGCATATCTCCTGAAAGCCAAACTAAGTCATTCATAGCTTAGCCATCAGAATCATCTGGATTGCGTAAAGCTTCTTTCGACCTTTCACAACTAGGTTTAATCAGCCGTTTACTTCGTGTGTTGAAATGTGCTTGTTCTATGTTTGGTATGCTGTGGTTGGGTCCATTTTACTCAAACCAGTCATCATTTAGTTCTCCTCCAGTGTTCGTTTTTCTTAACCATTCTCAAAGTTATCGACTCTTCCTCTCCAATTCATCGTGATCACTGAACTCCTCACTTATTATCTTTCCGGATTCATTAAGTATAGAAACAGATGTAAATAAGCGCTTTCAGCTTCCCAGACCGAATAATTACGGTGAAACCTCGCAGCATTTTTCCTGGGACTAGCGGCCGAGTAAATGAGAGCTTTGATTATTCATGCTTAAACTTTCCGTTCTGATCCTCCATCCGCACTGTTTGTACCTGTTGATGGCGAAACTGACCGTGCAGTGTTGGTTTCAAGCAGGATATCATGAAACAGTATAATCACCAATTAGAGCTTTTGTGGCTGTGGTCAGTGTAATCTGAGATGGACTGTACTAATCTATACTGACGTGGTGTTGTAGCGACCAGCAATCACGTGGCTTCTGAAAGGATCCAAGCTGCAACCGTGTTTTCCCACTCGTTTGTACTGTGCGTATGACTCACCGTACGCCTGCTATAGAATGCCTGATACGAACTCATCAATCATGCAACTAACTACACGCACCGAATGCTTTCCCATCCTTCAAGGTCGTTTAATCGGGATCTTTTTGAACGTTGTTTAACGCACTCGAAGGTTCTACGCACTGCTCGCAGACGCACTTTTGAGTGCAACCGAGTGGGTTGTGGTCCATCTCGCGCTTCTTTTCTTTCTCCTCTTGGTTGCTGCCGTTTGTCTCAGACTAGGCTAGAGCTAACTACTTATCACACTTCCAAACATTATTGGAAATATGCAATTTGTTTTTCAGACCCTGCTGAGTTCTTTAGTTTGATGCCTGCTGAGACTACTCTCCGATGGCTCTTCAGGAAAGGCGTTTTAAATTGTTAGTGGATGGAGGTTTAGCGCACACCCACTTGTCCACTACAGTGTGAACAACTTACGCATTATTAATATCTGGTATTTCCTATCAAGTCCGGTCATCAAAAGAAAAATACCTCATTTCAGTAGCAGTTGCGTTAGGGTTTTATCAAGTTATATCATACTTTATTACTTACGATTAAACGCAGAATCCTGACCGAAAGGTTTTGGTGTACCCTCGTCTATAGAAGAGGACGGTTCCGGAGTCGTTGACGAGCGCTCATCAACTAACGATACTCGAGGTTTTCGACTCATATCTATTCCCTCACTATCTTTCTTCCCCAAGTCTGCTTTTGCTTGAGCGAACTGCGGCTTCTGCATACTTGGAGTCGGTTGCTGCGGCAACTTGGAGAGCAATTTCAGCTTCATTGCATCGTGTTTCGTCGGCCCGGGACCGTCTGCCATAGTTGGCTGCGCACTGTGCTCAGCCTCTTCGTTTCCTTCAGCCGCCCATTTTTTTGCTCGCGAGTGTCTCTTAGCAAACATTTTTGCACCTCGACTGTCCGAGGTGTACAATGCCGACGCGATATCAAAGCATTTTTGTGGATCCATTTCAGAATGACGACTGGTAGGGAATACTTTGATCTTTTCCAGAAATTCCTGTACTGTTTTCGGTTGTCCTGGCATCAAAACAGGAGGTGGTGGAATTGATTGAGCATGTTTATTGACCGGTTGGAGGCCTGGAAAGCTTGGTGGTGGTGGCGGTGGAGGAGGTGGAGGTGATGGTGGAACCATGTTTTCCAGTTCATCCGGTGTAGCCTGATCAAAAATAAATGAATACATCTTGAAAATGACAGAAGACCGTAATATTTAAGCTTGGTTCTACTTTTTTGTCCAATTTCCCCGTCACAAAATTTCAACTTCTAAGTTTCAAAAATTGATCAGATAGCTCAACCTACCAAACTACTGAAACGTCAAATCATGAAGTCGCACAATTTAAGTTGTATGCGGAATTTCCTTTTATTCTAACCAGTTGCAACTAATTGTCTAATTGTTTCGTCTTTAAATTGTACTGTACTCAATATCTACGTTTAACTGGTCTTGGAAGAGTCGTCTATATACGTCATTCGAACATCCCTAGACAACAGTTTTTAGTTTCGCCCTCAATACCAACTATGCTCGAATATCTCGATCAGAACTGAGTTGATCACAAATAAGTTTCAGTGGCTATGGTTTAGAGATCTGACCAGCAGTCGGGAAACCAATCATTAATATTAAATTGGCAACAATGTGACCACAACCTTCGGAGGAAGATCAACCGAACATTACATAAGCTTTGGTCCCCAAGGACACATCTGAGGGCTTGCTTGATGATCACAGCACAGATGTTGAAGATAACTATGCGGAAGCTTTAGTCGAACTAATCACGGAGTGAGGATATATTCGGTGCTCGTAGTTCCTTTGCATTTCCACAACCCTGGGGTACATGGCACCGTATTTGTTCACATACCGCTCAAAATGTCCAGGGTTGTGGTCGCGACACAGGTTTCACGAAACTAACGGCAACAAGGACAGCCT